TTACTCAACTTTTATTAATTTTATATTTAAACACACTCCAACTTTCATCCATTCTCTCTCCAACTTTGTCTTCCCCGAGACATCATCTCTCCAATAATACTCACTATCTCATATCTTTACTCAAATTTTATTAATTTTATATTTCAATACACCTCATTATTTCAACCAAACACTCTCTTTCTTCCGTTTACTCAACTTTTAATAATTTTATATTTAAAGACACCTACAGAAGTCTCCAATGCGGATGCTCTTAGCATCATTAAAACTCTCGTTATTGACTTGGCTTGATCTAGTATTCGTTTAGCATCCTTAAAAACTCTCGTTATTAGAGATTTATATATTGATGGTGTTTTTCTCGTATTTTTCTCCCTAATTGTCCCATATATATTAGCTTTCCTCTCTCACAATTCGTGTATAAATAATCTATTTTCTTAATTTGATGCGTGAATGTGCATATTTAACAGCCATTCCGTCTAAAAATTCCATGTTTTGTATCTTTTTGTACAATTCCATGTTTTGTGCAAAAAAGTCAAATAACGGTCCAATATACGATCCAACTTTATACATCCAATGCTGGATTTGACTCTATATTACATTGATATGCACACACATTATGTATATAATAAATCTCCATATGATATCTCAACATCAAGAAAGAATATTATAATATTATTAATTCACCTTAAAAGATTAAACACCGTTAATACAACAATATATATGTGTATCCACTCGTTCAAATGTATTGTTTATATATATGATCATCATTATTCATTAAGGATGATTAATTATTAATGAGCATGATTATCATCACGCGGAGGATAGGGCATCAACGATGCTTTGCATGACGTTAACTTGCATGGTAAGACACTTGATGTAATGAGCTGTTTCCATCATCAGCCTCAACGTCTCCATATCTCCACCTCCCGGCACGACTGTTCTCAGCCTATCCTCCTCCGCGTCTTTCCTCCTCCGCCGTATTCTTCCTACATCAGCACCTGATGATCTCTTCTTCAGTTTTGTATATCCAAGGATCTTTCTGGCTTTGGCTCGACGATGGAGCCTCCACAAGATGGCTCTACTCCATCTCCGGCTAGTTCCTCCGGTGGCTCTGGCCATGGAAATGTAAGCTGCAATCTTGATCTTCCTCGCTCGCTCGCTAGTTTTACCGGTGAAGGATTTTTGTCTTCTTAGCTTTGAGAGAGAATGAAGGAAGTGGAGGGCAAAAATCTCTTTTATTGGGAAGGTTGTGGTTAGGGTTTGAATTGTAGAAGAGGCCATGGTTCCCCCTCTGTTGCGGTTCAGAATAACACAAATGATGGTTAAACTTAATGTTTATATAATGGAGAGAAGAGAGACTAATAAATAAAATATTGGAGATTTACAAGTGCATAAAGGCAATTCGCTTTTTGGAGATTATATAGTGTGTACGTGTGTTTGTTAAATTTCTAACCACTATGCTACAATACAGAAAGCTATTATATTTAATGTCTTTTTGGTGAATAACCAAAAAAAAAAAATTAGGAAAAATGGGATATGTAGTAAATTGTATACCATCGGATTTGGTGTTTTAGGTTAGTTTTTAAATTATAATTTATTTGTTATATTTTTGGTAAATTCTCCCTTATATTTATATCCCAAGAATAATAAATTTTATTTAATTGGAAACATTCTTTTAACTAAGTATGTTAGACGGGATAAAAATTGATGCAGGACAGTGCAAATTTAAATGAATTTAACACATCCCGTGCACATCTCCATAGCACATCAATTCCAAATTCAAAGCCGGTTTTAGAAATTACATAGAACAAATTTACATATAGAAGAACGAAACTAAGCTATTAACATTTTATAATTAAACTAGAACTGGAGTTGGACGAGTAGACCCACAATTGGGCCAACCACCACATGAAGGCACATGGCCATAATTAAACATCAACTTTCGTTTATATTATCCTATAAATTATTACTAACTAATATCAATTTGTATAAAGTTATACGATTAG